AATGAAGTTGAGGGACCAAAATTAGAATTTAATCAATTTTTTTCAAGTGGCGGGTGTGAAGTGTGACGGAACATTAACGGAATAACAGGAGATTTAACGGAAGTTAATTTTTCCGTCCAATTGGGTCCTTATTTGAGAATTTGGTGGAGTTCGGGACCTTCATTGAGCGCAATCAAAGTTTGGGTCTGAAATTGCGAATTTGGTGTAAGTTCGGGTCCTTATGTCATATTTTTGCCAAAAATTTATACCTTCTGGGCATGGAACTATTGTTTCCTGATCAATTCAAGTGTTTTTGAAGAAGGTAGAGACTGCAGGTTGCAGAATATGGAATAGAAAAACCAAAAATGATACAATCTGCAAAAGAGAAATGAAATTAATTCTACTTTAATTTATACTTTACAGCAAAGAGGCTAAAAATTTTTAAATGAATATGAGAATTAAATTAAATTCTTAAGGGAATTTATTTGTATAAACTTCATTTGATTTTCAAACTAAAAGATAAGGAATAAAGGAAACAAAAGTTAACTTAAGGAATAACTGGCATATCTAGAGAAATTTTAAGTTTAAATACCTAAAAACTCTTAGATCTACGAACGACAATGAGAAGAAAAAAAAAATCTAATTATCAGATCAAAACATAATTAAGTAGATACTACCAACTAAAAAAATGCATCAAAGGTATAATATACAGATTTATTTATAGTGGAATGCATCAAAGAACTTCATAAAATCAAACATATCCATTTGTGATACATTGAGAAATAAATATGCTTGTTATGACTCAGCTTGAAATAAGTAGGAGTAGATACTACCAACTGAAAAAAAAGATATATTGTCATATGCAGATTTAAAAAAAGAGACAAAAATCAATTGTAAAATAGTTAATTTAAAAAAGACAATAATTACAAATTTCTCCAAATGACTAAGAATGACTTTAATAAGGATGAATCTAGTAAAATGCTTCTTCACAAATTGCTCGGATATATACTTTTTAGTTGCTTCAAAGATTTTCAAAGAAACCAACGAGGGGTTGGATCAAGTGGTAAGCGGCTTGTTCCAGCTTAAGCAAGGTCTCGAGTTCGAGTCCTTGTGTATGCAGCAGCCCCCGCTGGGAGACTCACCCACCATTTCCAGGTGCGCGACGCGGGTCGAGTCCGGATTAGTCGGGGCGAAGCCCCGGATACCGGGCGGGA